TATCTATGCATGCTTTTAAAGTCATTTAAAAATTTTGAGCATCGTTTACTTGAGAATGGTTTATAATTTTTGGGAATCACTTACAATTTTTGAAGTTTCTTGTGATTGATCCCAAAAATTTTAAAATCGATCCTAAATAACCCACAAAAATTGTAAACCACCCAATCATCACAATTTATTAACTCCTCAAATTCATTCCCAAAAGCATTCCCTCTTGTAATTAAACTCGTCACATGCAACCTACGTCCAGTTTCCACACAACTTCGAGAGAAAAAGACAGTGGTTTCTTCTATATATAAAAATCGAATTGCTGAGACAGTCTTTGTAAAATGTATACATATATAAATATACCACTCTTCTCTTCTTTGAGTTTCAAATAGAGTACTTGTCTTTCACTCCCACTAAGGCTAAATCCTAAGCTGTTGATCAACAACTTTGGTCAAGAAATAGAACCAATACATCTATGTCATCGTCAAAGAGCACGAAGAAGAAGCAGACACAGCATGAAACAGGAGAAAGGTTTCTGGGAGTTCGCAGGAGACCGTGGGGAAGATATGCAGCAGAGATAAGAGACCCTTCCACCAAAGAAAGACATTGGCTTGGTACCTTCGATACTGCTGAGGAGGCTGCTCTCGCTTACGACAGAGCCTCTCGCTCCATGCGAGGCTCCCGAGCTCGCACCAACTTCGTCTACTCTGACAGTCCTCCTGGCTCTTCTGTAACATCCATCATCTCCCCAGACGAACCCAACAACCACCACCACCATGACTTTTCTTCTCTTTTAGCCCCATTTCCCACCACCCAACCCGACCCTTCGTCCCACCTCTTGGTGGGCCAGAATTCCCACACCGAATGTCATGGGTTCTCTTCATTAATAATGCCTTCTGCTGGTGGGGAGCTGTGGGCTTCGTCGAGTTTCCATCAACAACCCGTGTTTGACAATGGTGGTGGTGGTGGCGGTGGCGGTGCCAATGGCTCTGTGGCTTCCTCGCAGTCCCACCAACTGTTTAACGGGTCGGAGCTCCCTCCTTTGCCTTCCGACTTCTCGGGTTGTGTGGGCCCGAACTTGATGGAGATTTCCACGGGCTATGATAATGTGGGCCTGGGCCTGGCCCAGGGCGTTTGGGACGATCTTCCAGCTGAAGGAGGCCTTGTTGGGTTTTCGGAGCAGAGCACTATGATAACCGGTTATGATTCGACAACGGTGAGCGGAGGATCCTACCCGGGATTCGATTGGAGCAAGTACGTGCACAGCCCGCTGTTCGGTCAGATGCCACCGGCGTCGGATGCTATAGATGGTTTCGAAACATTGGACTTGGGCTCCTCCTCCTCCTCGCCGCATTTTTACTAACCATACCATATTAGATATGGGTATGAGTATGATTAATATATGAATATAAGTCCGATAAATATATACTAGTGTGTTGCAGTGTTGAGGCCTTTCTCTCTCAGTTGGTTTTGGATTGAAACCGTTGCTTAGGTTGGACTTGTGTGTTGTTGGGTGTGGGTTTGAGATTGAGAAGGTGTTTGTTTATAAGATTAATGAATCCGGTGAGGTGAGTAGTAAGAGGAATTCACTGTTTGCTCTCCAACTTCCCATATATAATTTCACATTTTTCTCTTGGCGGATTTTGCTTACAGTCAAGACAAGACGTGAGTGCTACTGGCTGGTTGAATTATTTCTTTTTCCACCATTTTTGTCTCCTTCCAACTTATATAGTTATATTGGACTAATCTGTTTATGTATTGCCTTCATGTCGATAGATCTACATCATTCATTTCAAAAGTTTGAGATGAAGTTAGTGTTTATATATGATTTTATACGCTTTAATTTAAGCAAGTCTTTTAGAAAAATTTAACACGTTTGATATGAAAAAAGCAATAATTAGTTTACATGTGGGACAATACTTGTGCTGCCATTAAGTCAAATTATTACAGTGATTGTGGTGGTGATCCTATATACGAAGCAGATACACACACACACAGATGAAATCTATTACAAAATACTGTCATTTTCAAGAAAAATACTGAATTATCGTACTTTTTAATTTATTTATCGATCTATTGCACTTTTTAAAAGTGAAATTGTTGATTCCGTTTTCAACACGATTCCACTCTCAAAAATTAAAGTAGATATTTAATAAAATTACGGTAGATGAGTATTTTTAATAAATTACCATATCGAAGTCTATAATTTGGGAGAGGTAAATATTGTTCTTTAATTGCGTGGTGGAGGTGTTGGTGGAGGGGAACTCAATACTAGGTGGGGTTGTGGTGGAGGGGCACGCCAATTGTTGTTACTCCAATTGCAACGGTCCAACACCTCTCTCTCTCACACACACACACACTGTTGTCTCTGTTATTCGGGTTTTGATTGCTTGTTCAGTGATGCTGGTGGAGGAGGAGGAGTTTTTGTGAGGTAGGTTATGGTGGTGGGTGAGATTGAGTTCGACAACAAGGGTGCTAATGGTGATTTGTTCATGTGATCAAATCTGGTAACAAAGAAGTTTGTAGTTGTCGATCAATTAGTTTTTTTTTTTTTTTTGGGGGGGGGGGGGGGGGGGGGGAAGAATCTTTGGAGGAATTTTTGGGGATGAGACTGTAGAGGTGGAGAAGGAATATGTGGGTGGGCTATGGTGGTAGCGAGGGAATTTGTGGTAACGAGCTAGTGGTTGGTTGCAGTTGTAAAGAAGAAATTTGTGGGGTGTAGTACTAACAGAGTTGAAGGTGAGCTATGGTGATGGTGTGCGAGTGTGGTGGTGGTCAGGGGTAGAAGTGTGTTGGTTTTATTTTTTAAAGATAAAATTTCACAATGATGACATCACAAAGAAAATTAAACACTTTTATCTAAAATAATAATTTTATCAACACTAGTTAATGCACACGAGCATTGCACGAGAATTATTTTGAGTGTTGCATATTAGATATTTCTGTAAACTTGTTTTAATACAACAAATAATTTTTTTTTTCATAAATATAATTGTATTTTGTAGATGGGAGGAATTGGCATTTCAATTGTAGGGGGAAATTTGTCAAAATCCCATTAAACAAGCACAAGACAGCAAAGTTCCATGCACTTAATGAGCAAAAAAAAACATTGTAAATGCATACACTTGATCATAATCTTTTCTTTTCTTTGGACCAAGAGTTCCACTACAGAAAGTAAACTTATATTGCCAAAGGAGATTTGCCCGAGTGAAGCCAAACGTTCGGCCATGTATGTCCACGTCCAAAGTAGAAAAAATTGCCTCGAATAAACAAATTACATAATTAAAAAGGGCAAAGATGTTCTTTGGATAAAGAGTTCAATCAAAAGTAGGTCTATTTCCATGCTTAAGGAGAGCGATCTACTGACCAAGAACCTCATATGGGAACCAGTATATTAAAGCCACCAAATTGCAAAAGGAAATCAGACAAATATATCTTGCCACTTGACCCACAGAACTTGCTATCTCAGCAACCTCTCTGCTATAATAGCTTCTAGAACAATAGCTATACCCAGAGTATAAGCAGAGCCACAAGAGATGCTCCTCCTGGAGCTTCTCCTTAGTCTAGGAGAAATGCTACGAGAATAGCCCCTCCTCGAGCCCTCCTTGTCCATGGGGAAACACTTAGAGAGTAACTTCTCCTTGATTACCTTGGGGAGATCCTGCGTGCGTAACTCCTCCTGGAACGCTCTAATGAGACATTGCGTGAGTAACTCCTCCGCCTTGAATTCCTGTGCGACCTTGGTGAAAGGCTTTGAGAAATGGAGCAAAATACTTCGAAATGCTTTGAGAAAGGCTTTCAGTGTTGGACTTCGAAAATACTACAAAATTATCGAAAATACTACAAAATTATCCAGCAAATTGATTTCAAAATTGACAAGTCCCTTCTGCCCAAAGACATCTGGAACCACTTTAGGTAAAGTGATCAAAATAAGCCATGTATGAAGCCTTCACAACTAAAAAATTAAGCTTCCCACATACAAAGATGCATGCATACCTTTCCAACAGTTGAGAAATGCTTCTCAAAGTCTCTCTTCGTGATCCGAGTTGATAACCCCATGACATACAAATTATTTCCAGGATTCTCAACACTTGAATCATGACACCTGTCAAACATTCGAAGACAAGAAAATCATTACTGATATGACCAATATCCAAAAAATTAGTGGATGAAAAAAAGGGGTACAAGATAAAAAAGAAAAGGGAAATATCCCAAATAAAAAAAGAAGGAAAGATGAAGGATGGGGAAGCAGTAAACCGCACCTTGACCAGCTCCTTGAAATCGAGTTGGACCTTTACATAGACCTTGAGACAGGTGAACTGCAGCGTCTGTATGGGGAAGGAGAGCGAGAATACCTTGACCTTTTGGAGTACGACATCTGTAGCAACATACAGCCCCCAAAAAACATAGAATTAAGAAGAATAGAGACAATGTATGATCTCCAAATATGTAAGAAAGAGAAGAAGAAAGTACATAACAATCACGTCTCTTCAAAAAATCAACAGAACAAAATAACATGCTATAAAGATGGAATGGTTAAACCAACACGCCCAATTCTAATCATCAAATAAATGAAAAATATATCCCTCCCTGTTCAATTGGAGCTAATTATAGAGCCCACTTTTTCTATGCTTTATTGATTGTTCGACTTTTGAGATTCACATAGCCCCTTGGCTTCTTCTCTCAACAAAGACGTTTGTGAGGGCAAGCCGATCAAAGAGTCAAAGTAGGGAGGAAAAAGTTCATTTGATTAGTGTCCCTAATTTGAAAAATCACACAAAGAGGGTGATGGGTCAAGCCCAAATGGCCCAATCCATGTGAAAAAGCCCAAGCTTATAGAAGACTAAGCAAGCCCTATGAGGTCCAAGACGGTCAAGCCCATCAGGGAGCATCCAGGAGCTATACACTTGCCCATTGAGGAAGAGGAGAGGTCGCCAAGAAGAGGAGAGGTCATCAGCTATTAAGTTGCCTCCGGTCCGTTATAACCGTCAAGCTATTCAATTACTACGCAGGCTTCTATAAATTGTAAGCTCCCCCAACACTTGGGGGGCATCTCAACAAAACCAAGCTCATCTTCCTCTCTCTTGTAATTCTTGCTCTCCCAACGCATCGGAGTCAATAAAATTTCCGGCCAACCTAGTCATTGAAAGTGGATGTAGGTCTCATTGACCGAACCACTATAAACCTTGTTTTCTCTCTCCCTCTACTTACTGCATTTTATATTGTTTAATTGACGGATGGTGTGCAAATCGATTTTGTGCATCATCAGAGGGCATTCCCAAAAGATACCACTATAAAAATAATTAGCACAAGGAAGGTCTGCTTCGATTTTGAAAGTATAAAACTATTTGTCCATTATAGGAATGGACCACATCTTGAATGTTCCCCAAAACCTAAAAGCTAGAGAATCTATGATCTTCAAAAGCATATCTATTGTGATAGTACACCCAAGTAAGGACTAAAATTGATGCTTGTGCAGCACTGCAAAGTGTTGGATTGAATGATGTTAGACTCACGATGAACTTTACTATGACTCCAACTGGATCGTAAGCAACACAAATTGAGATGAGACTATGTATAGAATCAGAGGCTGAACACATGGAAATCAACTATGCATCAAAGAAAATGTGTTGTGCCTCACAGAAAGAATTGAAGAGTAATGCATCCAGTAATCAACGTTAGAAAGTAGGTATGGTCATAATGTTGCTGGGGCTCACAAAAATGTACTGACCTGCCAAAGTGATAGAACAATATTAAGACAACTCATGAATGAGACAAACTTGCCAGGTAAGGAAAGACACCAAAACAAAAACTAAAGCAAGAGGCAATTGCAAATTATATTTTGAACGAATGGGGGTAAAGACTGCCATTACAGGCATGCACTTCCTCCAGGATATTTTCTAAAGTCTCAGATGAAGGCTCTGATAGAGGAAGAGGCTGAAAAGATACCTCTTGAGGAAGAGATTGAAAATCAGGTGCTTGGACGAGTTGCACAACCATAAGAGTAATCATTTCATAAATCGCTTCTTCATTGTCTTGTTTAGTTTCAAATTTCTTGGTTTTCTATTGAGGAAGATCTGTCAAATCATTTTGGAAAAACAAACACCAATCCACTTTAAGTTCCATTGGAAACAAGCACCCTGATTTCACAATCAATCCAAGCCTAACTCTATTGAGCTAGTCCAATCCAACAGTTCAATCATTTTCCAAGTGCTGAAATGTGATGAGCAGGGGATTGAGGATTCAAATTGGTGGGAAACTATTTGTATGTATTGAACCTGATTGCATTGGTTCAGTCTTTGTTATGATTTGAGAACCTTGGTCTAGTGTTGATAATAACACATATGAGAATATGAGATACATGATGTTACGATATGAAAATTGTAATAAGATAAAATCTAAAAAATTAATAAAATTTAAAAAACTAAAATATGAATATTACCAATAAACGTATATAATAAAATATTTTTATATTCTCAATTATGCATAATTAGCCCAAATGATTACCCCTTAAACTAAAATCTCACTCCACCTTGACTATAAAAACCCTCATTAGTGAGGGCTAAGGGTAAGTAACTCCAGAGAAAAGTGAACCTCTCTCTCTCTCATTAAACACACGCACAAGTACAGTGGTTTTTTATAATCACCTTTCTGCCTGTTTAACTGATTCAGGCAATGAAAGTAGTTCAGTCGAGACCACACCGATCTCTTACTTTAAAAACTTCCTTTGATTTTGACTAAAGACTTATAGCTGCAGAATTCCAAGGACGGTGCACATATCACAAAGTGAACATAAGTAATTCACAACTAATGTCTAACTAATTGATTTGTTTAGAAATACTTGTAGACAAGTAATGCAGTGTATTTTAACTCACTTATAATCTCTTAACGTGTGATAGCAAATAATACATTATAAGCAACAATTATAACGTAAGTAGATTAGGTACAATCAAAGCAATCCCTTAGTTTCATACTTAATTACTCAGTTCCTTTTTATTGTAGACGAAAAAGACCCTGCTACAAATAGATTTTAAGGTATAAAGGTACCCTCTTTTTGGATCCCGTTAATGTGTGTTATCACTGTGATCAATTTCTATGATGTATTAATTGGAGACTTAGAGGTCTGTACCCGATTTCATAAATTTCTTTTAGCATGTTTCTAGTATAAATGTGTATTTGTTGTAATATCTTGCTTGGCGTTCTCAATGAATTTCTTTTTAGGAAAACACCAACATAAATCAAATCTAATTCAGTAATAATTCAAACCAAAACAAAACCAAAAAATCTGAACTAATAATTTGAACACACGAAGTAGTTACCTGGGTAGAGGGAGAGGTTGGAGCTCCTCTAGCAATGAGAAGCTTGATGATGCCAAAACACAACAGGCAGCTAGCATCTGACAGAGAGGGGGCGAAGAAAGATGGAATTCGAAGATTTTTTCGGACAGAAAAGAAGGGGACGGTGAAGGGGGTTCATGACAGTGTGAGAGAGAAAGACTAAGAGGGGGATGGTAAAGGGGGCAGTGTGCTATTCTCTGTGAAAACACGGGACAAAACAGATAGAGAGACGGAGAGGGGAAGATGAAGAGAAGGGCTGTGAATTTGCAAGAGGGAGAGAGAGAAAAGGAGAGAGTCGGAGAGAGGAAGAGACTATAACGCTTGGGACTGTGAATTTGAGAGAGGAAATAGGGAGAGGAAGAGACTATAACGCTTAGGTCTGTGAGTTTGAGAGAGGAAATAGTGAGAGAGAGAGAGTGGAAAGGGACAAAATAGAGGGAGACGTTAACGGCTAGACAGATTAATAGGAAGCAATTAAGTGGAGAGGACATAGATGACATAATTGTCATGTTAGAGGATAAAATTGGAAAAAAAAATATTTTTTCATATATATTGATATTTTAAAGTAGTATAAATTTGTAGTTTATTCACAATTTAAAAGGGATTTAGTAAAACTTGTAATTATTGAAAGGGTGAAATACAACTAATCCTAAGTTTAGATAAATTTCTAATGTACCCTATTTTTAAATGGCATGTGATACATGCATATCCCAGTTGTATCACTTTTTTTTTTCTAGGAGATACTAATATGCTTGTGACTATTAGAGCAACTCCAAGCACTAGCTAAAATTTCAATCTTAGCTATTTTGGAGAGTCAATCCCTAAAATTTTTTTCCGGCCCATTCTCTATCTCACTACTTAGTTTAGCAAATCCATTTTCATTCGCTAGAAATGGAGAGCAGATTTTGGCTCAATATTTGCTTTTTTGCGCCAAAAGTAATATTTATTTTCTTCAACTGTGGCTTCATCATCTTCATCAGAGGAATCGTCTTCAGGCATGGAGCTCTCTTTGTGCTTGAGTTGAAGAAACCTGAGCCGATAGATTTTGGCTCGTCTTCACCCAAGTATGGCGTCCAATTCATCCAAGGTGATACCAATTCTTCCTCCGTTACTCCATTAATTTGGGTTTTTTATTCCCATTTCGCTTGATTGGTGGCATATGAAGAATGAAACAATTGTTCAAACCCACAATTTTTTTGAGGTATTTTCCTCAAGCTGCCAAAGCAATGATATGAGGGCTTTTAATGTTTCATCAATTTTTTGAGGTATTTTATTTTTTTCATTACCTGATGGTTTGATTGATGATATTGATCAAGGGTTTCGATCGTATTACATTTCATAATATGTTACAATCATTTTTGGCTTTTTTCGGTATTTTTATTAACTATATAGTGTGTTGAAACCTCCATTGATTTTTGTGATACATTGATCGATTATAGAGACGATGATATATACTTATTAATGATACACTTTAGTTGTGGCTGTTGAAAAAATATGATTGTTATCAATATGATCGTTGTAACATCCAAAATTCAAAATTTTGATGACGTGTCATCACACGTCATTGTGCCATGTTATTAGTATGACGATGACGTGTTAAGTTATGTGACATTTTTGAATTATATTATTGAAAATTAGTTAAAGTTAATTGAGATGATTAGCTAAAATAAAGAGTGTGGTTAGAGAGAATTTGTAAAAGTGACTTATTAAAGTAGAGAATATAACATTTAAATATATTTTGACTAACTATTTTAAGAACTGGGTTGGAGTTACTTTTAAACGCTATACGTACGCTTTACAAGAGGAGAGAATGACAATTGAAGGCCAACAAATTATGTTCAAAATATCTAAAATAATATTTTGTTACGGTGATACTTTCTAAATATAGAGTATCACTATAGTGATATGTAAAAAATTTTATAATATTTTTTATCTCATCTTTTCATTTCTTTCGTTCTCTTTCTTTCTCCCTTACGTTATTTTTAAAAAAAAAATAATATAAAAAAATAAAAAATAATATTTAAAATGAGTAGTTAAAAATAAAAAAAATACGGCAAGAGTTGGAAAATATTTGCTTGTTTGGATGGTCAACCATCCATTGAGAATAGGTATAATGATGATGGGCACATTGGGCATTGTGACTTGTGAGTGAGATGATATGCTTGGCTCAAATTTAAAAGAGTAAACTTTATTTTACTTGTTATCGTATAAAAATAAGCAGATAACCTTTTGAACCAATCTGCTGCCGTTATTATTTTTGTTCACATTAACAGAAATTGTGTTATAATTGCCTAAAATAAGGGTGGGTATGGAAAAAATCCTAGAGTGAATACTCAAACTTTAATAAAAATATAATTATGCCCTTCGACCATTAAAAAGACAAAATTATCGCTCAAAGCATCTTCTTCTTCCCTTCTTGCCTACCACCTGACAGGCCATCCAGCACGTGTTCCTGCACAAGTTCACTTCCTTATTTAATGGAAGAGAATAGGAAGATAGGGTGGAAGACACCGAGGGATAGGAATGTCTTTTTCCTATCTCTGTTAACGGTGTTAGGTGTTAACGGTGATCTTAAAATAAAAGGGGGTTATTTGCATATTTTTAAACGAGAAGGGGTGATGTGCTCTAAGGACAAACCACGAGGAGGAGGAGGTAAAATATATTTAAAAACACAGTTACAGTTACAGTTACCTCATATCGCAGGCCTTGATTTTGATGGGATGAATATTATTTCCCTTCCGTTAGTTATTTATACTGCCTTCTATTATTATTGTTGGAATAAAAAAACATGTCCGTATGGCCCGACGGTGGTTCAATTGGGGGTAAGAAGATAATTATATTTAACTCCCTCCATCAATTTGATAATATTTTTATTTAGATAAAAATTAATTTGATCGTCAAATTCATTTAATAGATATTATTATTTCTTTGTTATAGTTATAGTTATAGGCCTCATCATATCATATGTGACAACATCTAATCTAATCTAATAATAATAACTCTAACTTTTTCTGTGAAGTTATTAGGAGGAGTAATAAGGATAATAGAGATAGAGATAGAGAAAGATGGCTATTAGAGCTGTTGGCAAGTGGCCATCCGCCTCTCGATGCGATCATTGAATTTGGGGAAAGGAGGAATTTCTACGCCTGTACGGAGACATAGATTGTTGTAATATAATACTACTGCTTCTATCAAAATCAAGCCCAGAGTTTGTGTTTTCGTTGTTGCAACGCCGATTTCCATGGAGCCTGAGTCTGGTATTTCCCCTCCTCGGAATCCTACTCAGGTTAGGGTTTTTTCTTCTTCCTATTACAAATATTAACACTCGCATATTTTGCTTGATTGATTGCAACTTGCAAGCTCTACATTTTTCAATCTTTCCTACTCTTTGTTTTATTTCATTCGCTTCTCAACATCTGTCTTCCCTCTGGGTCTGGGTTGATTCTTTGTCATCCACTCACTTACTCATGGATAATTAATTTATTTACCTATGAAAACACCCTAATTTTCAGTTTAATTATGATTGGTGCTTAGTTATGTAAGAATTAGGACTCTTGAGGGTGGGACTTATCATTTATACAACAACCACTTCTTATCAAGCAGATAATGGCCAATATTTCAGCTCCTTTTTTTTGGACCTTTTACACTTGGAGATTTCTTCAATTACCGCAGCTCACTGGGACTCTCAAATCTGCATATTTCAATATCTATATGGGGATATGTTTTTTGTGTTTCCTCAAATGTTTCCATTCATCTACTCGACTTGTTGCAATGATTTGCATAGCCAATTCGATGCAGCAAAAACCTAGATTCCCTCAACCCCCCCAAAAAAAAAACAGCTAGAAACAAAGCGAATAGCATATTATAATCAGTAATAGACACAAAGAGAGCTCTAAAAACATGTAAGAGTCAAGGTGAGGACATACTATAGTGATTCTGGCATGTGTGTGAGAGGCCAAAGTATGACTTCAATCTTAATTTTTGGACAGCATAACAAAAACAGATAACTAGAGCCCAGCCTAAGTGTAGTGGGCTGGTTTAATCCTTGATAAGCCTCTCACATGCTACTACATCACAAATCATGCTAATATGGTATTGAGATGGTATGTCTTATATGTGTTTATCATTTCTTTGCTTAGGATCTTTGTGTTGTTTGTCATTTTATCTTTTTTTTTCCTTTGCAGTAGTAGGCGATTTCAACATTTATCCAATTAGACATATTTTCTTTCTATATTTTATCTGGCATGGAAAACTTTGATTCCATGTTAACTGTAGCATGCACAACCTCTCTCTAACCATTTTTCTTCTTCTTCGAACTATACCTGAGTTATTTTGTACTTTAAAGTTGTACTTATGTCGGTTTGCAGTTTTCCTGGGCATATCTCTCGAGGAACCTAATACTAGCATACCAAAGCCTTGGGGTTGTATATGGAGACTTGAGTACTTCACCTCTTTATGTCTACAGAAGCATATTCGTAGGGAAGCTGCAGAATCATCAAAATCAGGAAGCTATATTTGGTGCATTTTCATTGATCTTCTGGACCCTAACATTAATTCCTTTGCTCAAATATGTCATTTTGCTATTGAGTGCTAATGATAATGGTGAAGGTATACTGACATTGAAACTCATTTATATGGTGCTAATTAAGTGTGGGAATTGACTTTATTTGACTGACCATTATCTCCATCCATTTCAGGCGGGACATTTGCTCTTTACTCACTACTTTGCAGGCACGCTAAGTTTGGTTTGCTTCCCAATCAACAAGCAGCTGATGAGGAGCTGTCTGCTTACAAATATGGCCCCCCAGGACATTCCACATCCTCTTTAGCACTTAAGAGATTTCTGGAGAAGCATAAAAGGTTGCGGACTGCGCTACTCATTGTGGTATTATTGGGAGCTTCCATGGTGATTGGTGATGGTGTGATCACCCCTGCCATTTCAGGTAACATAATGCCAAAGTGGTGTTATTAATTAAGTGGGATTAGTTTGAAGTGTTTTTATATGTTATTATTATATCTGGCCCGCTATATTCGTTGTACCGGAGCAGGAATCTGTGAATTCTTAGTTGCTAAATTCCATTATGAATTTCGGGTAACAGTGCTTCATTTCGTATAGTGACAACACTTTCCCTTTCTCTTTCTCTTTCTTAACACTCTACCCCCCTTGTATAGTAACGGCAACTTTGGAATGAGAAGAAAATAGATTTTTACATTTCCCCTTGTTCATTTTTTGATCTATTTATGAACCTCCATATGCAGTTTAATAATTGTACCATTTGATCAAACGACCCAGTTTTGCTTGCTATAAATTCAATGAATGTGGCATCTTTATAATGCTGTATGGAGTCTATGGACACAAACCCTTACTGCATGATTTTGTCTGTCATTTTGGTTGAACCAAAGGTCTAATCCCATTGTGGAAACAATTAACTTCTGGTGAATTTTAAAATTATCATCCAGTGTATTATGTTAAGTTGCATTCTCTGTTTTTGTTTAGCTTGAAGGTTTATAGTGATGTGTTGGTTTTCATTGGGTATTTTCCATTTGTCTTACTGATAGTGTTGTATGTGAGTCTTGTGAAGACAAAAGACTGATATGTGCACCAGGTCAGAAATTTTCTTGTGGCTCAAAGAGATTTACTAGTGAGCTTATTTTTTTATTGCAGTTTTATCATCAGTAGCAGGGCTTCAAGAAACTGAGCAACATCTGACCAATGGTGAGTAGTGGCATTGTGTTCTCTGTTCTCATTTTTCCCGCCCCCCAAAAAAAAAAAAAAAACCCAACCAAAACTGGTGATTTGGAATGTCTTTCAATACTCAGAATTTATTTAGGCCTCCCGAGCAATAGCCCTATTTTTCCGTTTGCTGATTATCAATGTTGCTTTTTGTTTGTAGGTGAAGTGCTATTTTTTGCTTGTGTCATATTGATTGGCCTGTTCGCTCTGCAACATTTCGGCACCCACAGGGTAGCTTTTCTGTTTGCACCAATTGTTATCATCTGGTTGATATCAATTTTTTCCATTGGTCTGTACAATACCATATATTGGAATCCGAAAGTTGTGTTTGCTCTTTCTCCACATTATATTGTCAAGTACTTTCGCGAGACTGGTACCGACGGCTGGATTGCACTTGGAGGGATCCTTCTCTCAATAACAGGTGTGGAATCTGCCGTTAACAAATCTATGGTTTTTGAAAATTTGTTATTTATCATTTTTGGTCAAATGATTTAGTCATTGCTGGATATAGCCAGTTGGTGTTTTTAGAAACAATCCATTTCTTATTGATCTGAGAAAGTGTTCTTTAATGATGCCATACTAACTTTTACCTTTTCTGGGATTTTCAGGTACAGAAGCTATGTTTGCAGATCTTGGTCATTTCACTGCCTTATCAATAAGGGTAAAGCCCATATCTTGACCTGTACTCTAACTATATGAAACACTAAGTCGAATATAAAGGGCGGACCAGTTGCATATGGTGATCATATCAGTGGGCTACTGGTTCTCTGGTGCTGGGTATATGGATCCACCATACTCCATATATTTCCTACCTGGGTAGATTATTAGTGGTGGAGCTTGTGCCACCTGGCTAATCATTAGTGTCTGGTCCATGGGAGGGAAAAAGTTTAAGGTTCTGTTCTTGTAGACGAATTATATGACCATAAGCATTACTGCTGCTGTTACTTTCCCAGCCCAATCATAGTTGTACCTATGATCATCTGTCAATACACTATTGCAGAATACTATGTTTTTTGTTGTGGTGAATTTGAGTACTGTTTGTCCATGCAGCTGGCATTTGCATTTGTGGTATATCCTTGTTTGGTAGTACAATACATGGGCCAGGCAGCTTTTCTCTCTAAAAACACTTCTTCCATTCCAAGCAGTTTCTATCACTCAATACCTGGTTAGTTCTTTTACAGCTAATTAAATGTTACTCTCAGTATTCTGTTCATGAATCAAATATGGTCTAAATTTGTGTCTGATCCTTGCAATGCAGGTAGTGTATTTTGGCCTGTGTTTGTTATTGCTACCCTAGCAGCCATTGTTGCCAGTCAGGCTATCATCACAGCTACTTTTTCCATCATCAAGCAATGCCATGCTCTTGGTTGCTTTCCGCGGGTCAAGGTTGTCCACACTTCAAAGAATATATATGGGCAGATCTATATACCGGAAATCAACTGGACCCTCATGATTCTTACACTTGCAATTGCTATTGGGTTCCGTGACACAACTTTAATTGGAAATGCATATGGTAAGTCTGTCAAATTTGGAAGTTGTGCCCCCCCCCCTCTCTCTCTCTCTCTCTCCCCCCTATCAGAGGGCGGGTGGTAAGTGTGTTCCAGGATGGTCATATGTAAATACACTACTTTGTATATGTATGAATATGTTACATATGGCAGGTTCCATTTTCTAGAAAATGTTTAAAAAGTTGATAGCATTAAATAAATGCCATAAATGCTTTCCTTTTCTCTATTAAGGTGATATGGGTATCTGCTTGCAAAATGCTGTGTCTGTCTGTTAGTACCTCCTGTTTAGTGTTTACTGCCCACATCACCAATAGATTGACTATATTTTCACGAGTGATATAATAGAAAAATGTGGAGTGAAAATTAAGTTCATGGATGTGTGGTAAAACGAGAAAGGATAGAATTAGGAATGAATACATTTGTGAACCATAGAAGTTGCACCAATAAAAGATAAATTAAAATAGAATCAACCTAGGTGGTTTGAAAATGTTTATGGAAGACCTAGTAATGCACCAATAAGGAGGAGTAATTTGGTACATATCAATGGTAATGCGAGAGGTAGAGTAGGCGTAAAATAACTCTGAACAAGATAGTAAAAAAGGATGTAATGTCTCACGATGTAATGGAAAATATGGTCCTTGATAGAGCACAGTGGAGAAAAAAGATTCATGTAGCCGGCCTAAAAAAGTTAGAATTAAGGTTTTGTTGAGTTAAATTAGATACAATATTTGCACAGAGATTTAATTGATAATGGCAACTGTACAACATTGAAAATTGTTATGATCTAAGTGCATGTTAAAAGTTGGATCTGTGCACTATTTAACACGATAGTGTTAAGCAATTGCTCTGACATGGCTGGTCTTCTTGCCTGCTCTATTTCCAGAATTTTGCTCTATGCTATATAACTGTATATAGTGGTTCTTATGATGGTCAGTTTTGTTATAAAGATGATTCTTTGAGAGGGCCCCTACCCTTGACATCTGATAGTTGCAAGAGTGGCTTCTGTTCGCTTCAGTTTCTACTTGACTCGATTTTCTTCTTCTTTTTCTTTACACTTTTATGGATACTCTACTTATTGTTGTCTTCTTTTTCTTCTTTGTGCTTTTACAGATATCTTACTTAAATGTTGGGCTTTGGTGATTGGCAGGCCTTGCTTGCATGACGGTTATGTTTTATCACGACATTTCTTATGGCACTAGTTATAATCTTCGTTTGCGAGAAACATCCTACTGGCTGCTGCATTCCTTCTCTTATTTTG